ACTTTTATCACGCTTTTCCTAAATCACCTCTTCTCTCCACTACACAAATCCAATTGTTTCAACTTTACAATATTTGCTGAACAAAATCTCAGCTGCAACATATAAAGTCTAATCTTGCTTTGTATTTTCCTGGAAGGAACGAGACAGAGTTGAATACTCTAAGATTTAAAAAGTTGAACTGAGGTGTCCAAGCACCTAAGCTCTTATATAACAGCTGTGTGCCACAGCCACTTGAAGAGTGAATCCTGCTCACTTTTTTCAAAGAACGCTATCTATCTAGCAGGCATCTTCAGGCATGGACTTTGGACCACTGGCTGTCCTTGTCATTCTGTTCCAGCTTTCTAAGAGGAGTTCAAATGCAAACTTCTGTGATTAGATTTCTTCATTAACTTCTCTTAGATGACTCTGCAGTCAGCATATAGCCTTTTGCACCCTGAGATGCATACTTTGGCACTGTACAGATCTTGGCAACCCAACATTGGGGTTTGTTTTCTATTTCAGGTTCAGGAACCTAAAATATAGGAAGTAAATACAATTTGCAGTTATCAGAGATGTCTGTATTAAGCATTGGAACACAGTGACAACATCTTCAAGATTAAAATGACTAAGCTAGTTCCAGGGCTATAAATAATATAGTTGCATTTGTATGGCTAGGCTGCCCTCAGGGACCTTGACAGCAGGCAGCACTACGCTTTCCTGGATGCAGCTGAACTCTTCACTACTAGGGTTCTCCAGTTCTCTAAGGCAGATTCTAAAGAAGCAGGAGAAAGGACTTATCCAAGTGTTTTAAGTATATCTTAATGCTTGAGTCATAGGAACTCTGAAGCAGTACCATCCCAATTCAAAAAAGCACTCAGGAAAGTAGGTATCAGTCAGGTAGGATGAAATCACATATTTATGACGTGCTTAAGTGCTTAGCACTTTTCCTGGATTTCGACCCAATATGGTCAATACAAGTATATCGACAGAGGAACAACAGCCTACTGAGAAGGGTGACAAATGAACAGTTTGAAAGAGATTGGTAGTCACTACACCTCTAATTAAGAAAGAAATTGCAGACTAGCTAAAAGACTGTAAACTTATTTTTTAGCCTCTGTCTTCAAAACAGATTTTAAGATATGCTCATCAATGTCATTTTAAATACAATTATTTATTTTTCATTTATTGTGTAAAGCCTAGATTAAGGGATAATGATGTCATTCTGAGATATGTTGTCATTTGGACGTCTTACAGCAGTTAGGTCTCTTGGCTGGTCAGACAGCTGCCAAGACAGCTCTCATCATCTTCAGCATGAGGATGATGATTTGGCTTTCAAAAGACTATAACTGTCATAGGACGTCAAGACAATATAGCACAAGGTGATCTTGTGGATCATCCAGGTAGGTGGAATCCATTATATCATGAATTTTCAAAAGTTCAGGCAACTTTACTACATGTTCAGGAGCAAGTAGGTCATTAATGTAACGCACTCTTCATGTTCTCATAATAGCAGGTGTTGACCTGTCATTTAAGGCTTCGCCTTCGTAGGCCATAATACAGTACTCTGTGTAAGATAATGTTGGTAATAGCATATAATCATCATTACAGAAAGTATACGATAAGGGTAGGAACTGTACTAAGCGTATACAAGTGAACACTAAAATGTATTCATATCATCTTAGTTTTAGCTGGGATAACTATGTTAGATGACGAGAAAATATATTGCATGTACAAGGCAGAGATGAGCTTGGACTTTTCACTGACAAAACCAGTATATAGTAGCAAATCTATTGCAAAGCAGCCAACAGACACCATTTCTGTTTTATTCCATGAACTTCATGGAATAAAATTCCATAAACTTTATTCCCATGTGAAAATAGCACTTTCAAGATAAAACACGAGACTAAGCATGACATTACCCAGAAACTCACATTAAGTGACTAGTTAACACTAGCTTCTGAGTTTTATCTGAATAGCAATTACATGACAGTTCTGTCAAACAGAACACACAATAGTTTAAAAACTATCTAGAGCAAGCAGTATCTACAGAACCTACTGCATCCAGTTGAGCAGTGGAGTGAAGCCCAGACTGGTGAAGGCTGTGTTACTTCTGAGATGTGCTATCTCGGTAAGCTAGCCATAGGAATACAAGATTACAGCCTAGTCTTGCAGAGAGGATTGCCTCTCAGCTAGGTTTATTGGGTTGGGTATAGTGTTGCATGTGACACTGAATTTTAGCATGAAAGTTAGTACCTCCATTCAGCTTTTTGCTGTAATGTATAGACATAGTTTGGGTTGACACATTCTTATGCATCTCTACACTGCACTGTTGACCAGTGTAGAGATTCCATACAAATGATGTTTAATAGAAACATGGATCCAACAGGTTTCCAAGAGAGATGCATCTCTAAGGTCCCAGAAATAGACTGAGTCACAGTACAGCATGCCTAACCAAATTATGAAAGGAAAGCTTTTATACATAAGAGATCTTAATTCAATCAGAAACTCATACAGCTTTGCAGCAACTGCCCACCATGTGTATTTGTTGCCGGATGTTATAAAAAAAACTGCAAAGGTTTTTTCAAAAGGTTGGATTTCAGATAGAAGGCTTTAATAAACATCAACTAAACTAACATTAACTTATTTTTTTTCTTCTGAGAGGGACCTTCAGAAACTAATTCATTCTTTATAGAGCTCTTAGAGAAGAAACTTTTTTTGTCAAGGTTTTCCAATTGTCCAAAATGTGTTAGACAAGATTTACAAATATCAACAATGTGTAATTCCTTCAAACAGAATAAAACATTTGGTATGCCGCTTAGTATATCACTTGCACAGATTTTAAAGGATTAAGGCCCAGAGAAAATCAGGAGACCAATAGGAGATAAAAGGTTTTGGTTTTACTTTGGTCTTCCTTCTCAGAATTCGTTTTAATACCAAGGGGCTGGAATTAACTACAATAAAGTCAATGAACTAATTGCTTGCCCTAGATATTTTATTTATGAATAGTGGACTACGAGAGAAGAATAAGCACTTGGAACATGAAAGTATCTGTGAAGCTTGTGATTTTGTCTTCTCTTTGGCACTAAATAAATAAAGGACAAAATTCCAAACCCCAAAGTGAGTTCGCTAAGATCTGATCCAATAGGAGGAACTAAATTTGCCAGAATGGATACAGACATCTTCATGTAAGCTGGCCACCCCAGACCCACTTTGTTCTCAATGGCGAGAAGTCAACGCTTTTAATATGCAATTGATCTTATTACACAAGGGACATCAACAATAGGTCAAATGAATCTCTCCAAGTATGTAACAGATAAACAAGGTTAGATGAGATTAAACGCACCTTTTGTGTTTCTGTAGTTACTAACAGTCATATAATAGATTCAACAGAAAGTTACTTCCAAGCATTAGCTTTACTGAAGCTTAAAAGAAGAGTCAGCAGAATCATTATGTAATGATTTTGTAGACACACCATGACACTTCTGTCTGATAAAAATATTGCCTGTAATATTTCATTAAATTTAAAGTTACTGTGTAGCAACTATAAGAGGTTGATGGCTGCCAAGAGCTGTGAGGTTGTGGAATAGAATAGTATTTCTGGAGCCTTGCCCAGAGTTGAGACAAAATTTGACTCATCTTCATGCATACATTTGCAATATACCTCCAAACTAAAATAAGGGTTTAACTCCATCACGAGGTTCTAGTGATATCATGTTAGAGCTAAGAATTGATTATAATATCAATAGAAGCTTCTAAGTGACTCTAAAGAGAAAGGTGATCTTTTCATAGCTAGATTAATTGGGATGTTTGTGACCTTGTGTCATTGCATTCTCCCAGAATACACATGCCTCAAGTGCCGATTCAGTTTTTGGTAGCAGGATAATTATAACTCGAGCTCCATTTTGTTTCATTGTACTACTTCAGAGTATATTAGCAAATATTTCAGTGGGTAAGAAATACCGTGTTAGGGAAGGCTATGCCTGCAAAAATTTAGAAACTGTAAGATAGGAACTGAGCTAGATCAGGACTGATTAATTCATCATATCTATTCTTGCTTTCTTTTTCAGCTAATAATCTTCCAACAGAAAATACATATAAAAGATAAAAAGAGAGATTGTGGAACAAAGAATAAAAAAATTGCATGACATTTACATGACATCATTCTGTTCAATCTGCTTATGTTATAGCGTTTTATTCAATCTTTTTCTGACCTATCTGTTCAAACTGTACTCTTCTTGACATTTATCCTGTCACTTATTGAATGGTCATGCACTTTTGAGAACAAGGGGAGTCCCAGTCTCAGGTAAGATTTTTAGGCATCACCATTATAAAAACAGTAATAAGAAATACCTTCGAACAGTTAAGTAAACTAATATTCCATCATTTTTCATAGTTAATCTTTTGATCTGCATGCTGAAGAGATCAGTAAATAATAATCTGGGAATGGAGGAAAGAAATACTTTTCTTTTTTTTAATTACTGAAGTACCACTTTTTCCAGGTATCATATCATCCTTCAGAAGATGGAAGCATTGAAACCTCTGAGTTTCAAAGAAATCCCATAAGCTCAAGTCTCTGTTTCTCGTGCATACATAATTTGATCCCAATAATTCTACTGGATAAACAAGCAGGTTTCAAAAATGCTTGTACTTCTGCTGAGAAAAGTTGTTCTAAAATTTTTCAGATGGATAACTGCTGCTCTGTATTTTTAAAAAGAATTGGTGAACAAGAATACAGCAAGAAATTATCAGCATGCACTGTTCACAATATATTATTGCACCAGTTTTAGTCACAAGCTTCATACTGGTCAGTTGGACTGCAACATTTTGGCATTTAGTAATTGCCACAGTGGAGAAGAAAAGGCTTAGAAAGAAATTATAATTCATGGCGTTAAAACAGTATTAACAATAGATACTGTAGCAAAATATTGTCTTTTGTTATCATTACACATTAATACAATAGTTTAAGTTATTCTTACTAGTTTGTCTAAGTGCTATTAAAAAAATGTAACATTTAATCTTACCACTGAGAAGCCAGAGTGGAAAAGATATCAGTGGTTTCAGGTTCTTGGAACAGTTTCAAAAGTTCTGGTTCAGATGATAAGTCAGCAAGGATCCTTAACTCAATATGGGAAAAATCTAGAAAACAAAGTGTTTAAATAGATCTATTGCTCTAAAATAAAAACATACCTACATTTTCACCAGACTATCACAAGTTAAAATGCAAGCCTGGTCTGTTGAGTCATTTCCTTGTGCTCAAAAAACCAAGATGCCTGTAAAAAGCTCATCCTGAACAAGCTCTATTCCAGCTATGGATCACAAGGTGTCCAATTCCTTCATTATCTTCAGGTGTCAATTAATCTTATTAGCTCTTTGTTTCTACTGACAAGGCTTACATATCATCCACTTCCAAAGCACATTAAGGAGTATACATCATATAACAATATTAATTGATACTAAGGGATTTGACAGCCTTGTAAAATATAATGTCATCCAATGCAGAAGGGAAAAAGATATGACAGAACTGCAAACATTAATATGCATGAGAATAATAATACATACTGTCTTACCTGCTGCTAAAAAGGTATATCCTTCTTTTGAAACAAACAATGTTCTTGGGGAAATAGTTACTATTTCCTCGTCTCTTCCTAGAGAAGAGATAGACATTTAACTCCCAAACCCGAATCCAAAAACATCATGTTGCAAACTACCAGAGGTTGTAAATGGCATACCAAACACACAAGTAAAACCACAGGAATGGCAATGTAAGCAAGATAGCAGAGCACCAACTGCCAGCATCACAATTATTTTACTCTGTCAGTCACGTACAACATCTTGATCTCTGCCATCATTGCAGTGCTGCTTACTTCTTTTTTCAAAATCAAACCCTTCCCAAAACACTAGCTAAACAAATATCTGCGATAACTAACGTTATCCACAGATCAGTTAATAAAGGAGGTATTCAGATAAGGAAGGGTCTATAAAGATGACCTAAAAAATACATGTTCTTATCTTTGAATATGCTGTAGTAATGTGTTAATAACCAAATTGTGAGTTACAGGTGGCAGTAGAATACAATATTGAGAACATACAGCTGATCTATGCATCCAAATTCTAATGACAGAAATCCCCTATAATATCACAAAGCAGTAACATACATTGACCAGATATTAGAAACTCAGTGCATCCTGGGAATATCACTTGTCTTGGCGTAGAAAGGGATGGTGGTTTGAAATTAATCTGAACAGCATAAAAGTAGAAAAAATAAGCGTGTCTTGATACAGGAATGAAAAACGTAGAAATACATTTTTGAGAAGCACATATCATTAACAAAATTGATTGGACTGTTTCCAGAAAGACCTATGTGCCAGTTATGCACAACAGGTCAGGTTTATACAGCCACTGCTCACACATTTTGTATAACAACTTTTAAAAAATACTTGTAAAAATGAATCAGGTAAATACAATAAAACTGCTGTCAAAGTTTTACATTGCTTTCAGGTTCCTGTTTTATGATCTCCATTATTTCAAACACAGGGAGTGAATAGCTGTGAAAAGCAAGCCTGCCCTTATCTGAGAACCAAGTGCAACAAACGCCCAGCATTTCCCAGCTATGACTGTAGGCGTTCAAGGAGAGTTTATGTTGGCAAATCTCTCTCTTAAATTTGAGTCTACTACTGCAAGTTTCTCTCTTTATCACTTCAGTCATGCTTTTCTAGACTTGACTTTGATTCTCTCTGAATCATCTGCCTTAAATCTGGTTATGTTATCAAAACCAACACATCCGACTAGCTATTGGTTTTTAGTTGTGAGTTTGATTCAAATGACCCAGCTTTAACATCTCCTCAGGGAAAGCCTTATGAGCTGAACATACACAAAATTATCCCTAGGATATTTAATGGACTTAAGATGCATAGTTTCCTCCGGAAAAAGGTTCTTGGAACACTTCCAAAAGTCCTGGTTCAGATGGTAAGTCAGCAAGGATCATTAACTCAAGAGAGACAGCCGAGAAAACAAACAAACAAATAAATAATCTAAAAGTTTGTAACTATTTAGATCAGTGCTGGAACAAATTTTTTTGCAGGAACAACCAGCAAAAAGTAACTGGTTTAAATGATGATGTATAACTAAGCATCAATAATTTTTTCTCGTCTTAATGCTGGAGCTAATGGTCTGGTTTAAAATACTATAACTCACTAAAACAGTTAGACAAAATTGCCTTCTCATGTTAATAAAAACATAGTTTACCTTTTATGTACTGTTTCTTCGCAATTCTAATTGGATGTTTAGAGATACCTTGAATGTTCTAAAAATAAGAATAAAAATCCTTAGTAAGTTAAAGTTTCTGAAAACATATTTATGAACAGTTTATAAGCAGTATAAGAACATCAGTAATACTAATGCAAACAAGTTTTTCCCATATAAGATTAACCACTTTGCCTTTAAAAGGCATCTTCACACTTCTGTAACTATAGATAGGTTTGAATATTTGCTCTTACTTGAAAATTGGAAGCTTGTAAGAAGGATTTCTTACTGGCAGCCTTTCTAAATCCTAATCTCTGGATGCACCATAGAACATAATTAGTAACCTAATAAAAATAATTTTCTTCTTATTTTAATCTGTATTCTTTAGATATGGTGCATTACTTTCAAGACAAGAATACATGTGAACCCTGCCTTAAGCTAAGGGAACAGATTCTTCTTCAGCCTCTAGAAATTTTTCTAATATCTATTCCCACTTGTTCAAAGTACATGATGAAAAAAAATAGGAGATCTCTATTAACTTCAGCACATCAGACAAGGTTAAAAGTAAGAACAAAGTTTATCAACAAACATAGAATCATAGAATCATTTGGGTTAGAAGGGACCTTTAAAGGTCGGCTAGTCCAACCCCCCTGCAATGAGCAGGGACATCTTCCACCAGATCAGGTTGCTCAGAGCCCCGTCCAGCCCGACTTGGAATGTTTCCAGGGATGGGGCATCTACCACCTCTCTGGGCAACCTGTTTCCAGTGTTTCACCACCCTCATCATAAAAATATTCTTCCTTATCTTCCTTATTCTTCCTTAGTCTGAATCTACCTTCTTTTAGTTTAAAAGCATTACCCTTTGTCCTATCACTACAGGGCCTGCCGAAAACTCTGACGCCATCTTTCTTACAAGCCCCCATTCCTATAAGCCCATCCTTCCGGCAATGATCTGACCACTCATTGCCTTCCTCCTCTAGCCCCAAGCTCTTGAGCTTTTGCTTGGTGGTTTTGGAAGAACCAGCAGAATGAATGACTGGTAGATGCAGGACTACGAATAACAGAAGATTTTTCTTTAAAGATCTGGGTTCATACACTTTCAGTAAAGCATGAAAGGTGACACACAATAACTTCCTCCTGTTATTTTATGTCATAATGCCTCTTCATCTAGAAAAGTAATACAGGGCAAGGGATAATGTGTATCAAGCTCAGTTTTCATAATTCCATGCAATTAATTTGCAAGTTGTTCAGGAATTAGATAAACATTCTAATATTAAGTAATACTGTGAATTCAGGAGATGGGAACAGTAGTATATAATTTCCAAATCAGAATGATCATTTTCTATGTAACTTTGAACTCCAAATTGTTATTTTAAACTTCTTAAGAGGGATGTAATCAGACTGCAAAAGCTATTGAAATTTAAAGCAGACTTAAAAGAACAAAACCCCCAAAATAAAACAGTATAATCTCCAGTCTTAGTATCAACCTTAAAGATCTACAATTAAATGTATTAAAGTTGAACACCTGCCACAGCACCATATACAGAGAGACAGGAAACTACTACATAATATACTATGTAGTATTTTCACAGCCTGGGTAAACTAGGAACACTGCTCTCAATCCATCAACATGAAGTTTGGCGCAGAAATACTTCTTCCGTTTCTAGAAACATTTAAAAATACAGCTGTAGCAATGCTTATTGTAATGCTATTAACCATATTTTGAAATAAGTGGTTATTTAATCTATGCACAAACCTAACATTTCTATTGATAACTATTGATTTCTATCAATAACAAGTTGAGGAGGATCAGTGCTGGTTCGTATGAATAATATGCAGTTTAAGTGGTCATGGAAGCCAGTGGATCCTCAGAAGTTTAGAAAATTAAGTCCTTTATTATGCACCTGGACACAAATGTGGGAGCCTAATTTTACACATTTAAAAAAAATCACAACATTCTAATTCTGACTTGAACCATTTTAATGGTAGAGATCATTGTATGGACTGTTCATTGGGCTTTATACTGGTGTTGACATATACTTCATACGATAACTTTCAGCCCAGGTTAAAGAGTTGTTTATAGTTACTCTCACTGATTATTGTTCTGTAACTTGTTAGCTTCAAATTCTTGAACAAAGTGGAATGAATAAAAATTTATTTCAAAATCTACCTACAGTGGTAAAAATAAATCACTATATTGCTATCTTGTTTTCACTGACATGGCATTCAAAAAGCCTGCTTTTAATGCAATTCTGAAAGTGATACTAATCATTCTGAAAAACACTAGTAAGTAATTGCAAGTGCAAAATGTAGTTTCACTTGTAGTTAACTCAATTTTAATACATCGTCAGAAAAGAAGTAACTCAAACGTGAAAGTGGTAGTGCTCATCTTTAAGCTACTGAATAGCTTAATAGATTCCTCTCCTCTAATTTTAGACATCTTTAGGCTAGTCGTTGGTCTAAACTAGCTGTCTAGAATCTCTCTACAGTCAGTAGACAAGGACAGGTGTAGTTCAATCTATCTGTATATGACATACTTACAACAAGTTGACCTAAGATTCCCCTGGAGATGACTTTTTTTTAGATTTAGATTATCAACTTGATGAGATAAATTTACTTTAGATATTTAAAAGGATGGAGAAATAAGGAGACAATCTTAGAAGAGTCTTCCAAACGGAAAGCTTTCCTCTGCTTTAGTTGAAAGTTAGGTGATAGTTTTATTGTATCAAAAGTGGAAGATTGATGTGGCTTTGGTAAATCACTATTACCACCTTGAACTGCATAATATAGCCTGTATTTTTGCTTTTTTGTATTTATTTCAAGTATATTTCTGCAAAATCTTCACAGATATGAAGTCACAATCTGAGATGTGACTGTTATCCCTTATTGTTAGAAAAGGGCATCCACATCTTGTTAGAAGTTACAGAGAAACAAAATTGCTCTCTGAGTAATTATGCTCGAAGAGACAAGAAGGAATATACTTGAAATAGTGTAATGGAAATGCTGGTTGTGAAAGTTAATTATTAATACCTCTCTTCATTGGTTTGGGGGGGGGTGTGTGATGCTATTCTAGTGGCTGATTAACAAGAAAATCCTAGCATTGCTTAAAAAAAAAATTAAAAAACAACACCATAGTCCAAAATTCATTTCCAGAGGTTCCAATGGTTAGAAGGATAGATGAAGCCAAGGTCTCAATCTGAATTATGTCTGAAAGTATCTGATGATCAGGGGAGGCTCCTGAGTGCTGGTAGAACGCAAGTGTCAGTCCTTTCTTCCAGGAGAGTGGGAAGGAAGATGCATAAAACTACAAGCCAATCAGCTTCTCCTCAGTTCCTGGGAAGGGCATAGAGCAAATAATCCTGGAAGACATTTGCAAACATATTAAAGTCGAGAAGATGATCTGGGGTAGTCAGCATGGATTTAAAAAGGGGAAATCGTGCTTAACCAACAATCACCTGCTGCGATGAAGTGACTCTCTCGGTGGATGAAGGGAGAGCAGCAGATGTTGTTTACCTTGACTTTAGCAAGGCTTTCAAAACAATCTCTCATAAAAGCCTCATAGACAAGCTGATGAAGTACAAGCTAGCTAAGTGGACAGTAAGGTGGACTGAAAACTCGCTGAACCACGTGGTTCAAAGAGTTTTGACGAGTGGCACAAAGACCAGCTGCAGGCCAGGCATTAGTGGAGTACCCCAGTGGTGAATACTGCTCAACACCTCCATTAATGACCTGAATAAAAGGATTGAGTGCAACTTCAGCAAGACAGCAGACAATCCAAAACTGGGAGGAGTGGTTGATACATCAGACAGCTGCTCTGCAATTCAGAGGGACCTCAAGAGTCTGGAGAAATGGGCTATCAGAATCTCAGAATTCACAGTCTGGAAAGCAGCTTTGCAGGAAAGGACCTGTGGATCCTGGTGAAAAGCAAGTCGAACATGAACCAGCAATGAGCCTTGGTACCCAGGAAGGCCAACAGCATCCTGGGCTGCATCAGAAAGAGCTTCACAAGCAGGTCAAGAGAGGTGATCCTTTCCCTCTGCTCACAATGCTTGATAGGAGAGTGTAAATAAGATGGAGCCAGATTCTTCTCAGTGGTGCCCAAAAATGGGACAAGAGGCACTGGTCACAAACAATTACAGGAAATTCCATTTAAACCTAAGAAGAAACTTTTCTACTATCACAGTGGTCAAACACTGTAACAGCTTGTGCAGAGAGGTTGTAAAGCCTCCATCCTCAGAAATATTCAAACCCCAACTAGACATAGTCCCAAGAAACCTACTCTAGTGGACCCTACTTTAAGCAGGGGGGGTGGACTAGACAATCTCTAGTGGTGCTGTCCAAACTCAACCATTTTGTGATTCTATGATTCTGTTTTTATAACATTCCTGTAATTGATTAATCTATGTATCCTATTGCCTTCTCTTTACTTCACATGATTTCTGACCAAGATAGAATTGAAGCCTTCAATAGTATGAGACAGTGGAAAGCCATAGAAAGACCCCGGTTTCATCCCCAGGCAACTTTTTATTTAAAAAAAAAAATAATATATATATATAAAGCACACTTGTAGCATAACATGAAAATTCAAAGATTAAAGACAGAAACAAATATTTTGCAGAAACTGCAGTTGGTGCATCATGTCTTAAAATGCAAGCTCTAAGAATTGTATTGTCTTGATTATCAAAAAAACATGCAAAAATGTACATCCAAGCTTCATAAATAATTTTGGTAAACCTGCAACATAACTACTCCTTGACTACATAAATGGAAATTTCCATTTTTCATGGTTTTCATAGAATCATAGAATCATTTAGTTTGGAAAAGACCTTTAAGATCATTAAGTCCAACTGTAAACCTAACATCGCCAAAAACGACGTCGCTAAGCACCACATCTACCTGTCTTTTAAATACCTTCACGGATGGTGACTCAACCACTTCCCTGGGCAGCCTGTTCCAGTGTTTCATAACCCTTTAATTGGAGACATTTTTCCTAATATCTATCCTATACCTGCCTTGGTGCAACTTGTGGATGTTTCCTCTTGTCCTATCACTTGCTACTAG